CCACACACACACACACAATTTTGTTTATGACTATCCTTCGAAGTAATTAAATTGATTGTCCCCTTGTCCCCTACGGACCCCGTCGGCGTTTTCAACTGGTTTGGAGTTTCTTTCATTTGAGAAGTTGAAGACGCCGACGGTAGAATACATTAGAAATGTATTAGAATAATAATCCATAATGACTTCCTTTTTAAAATAAAACATTTATAAAATTCGGTAAAGGATATTTATTGAATAGTTGATTTCAATTTAAATGAGTAAGTAATAGTTTGGAAGCTCATTTGGTGTAATAAAAATAACAGACATTCCGTGCGATAACATTTCATTGTATGTGATGACAGCCTTATCGGGGTGTAATTTTTCATACTTGGTAACCTTTTTGTCTGATGGTTTCACATGTTTCTGTACCATGGCTGTTTTCGGCCGTTTTTTTGGTACAGAAAGATACAAAAGCAACGGGTTCATTTTATTTCTGCTTTCATATCTTTGTGTACCATAGTACACTTTTACATGGTACACAAAGGTTTGAATTTTAATATCTTTGTGTACCATATAAAAGTGTACCATGGTACAAAAAGATATGAAAATTCACATCTTTTTGCCAGGCTCTTGTCGGCCATCGTATTAAACAAACCTTCGCCAATCCAATCTATTTCTGCTCAGTGTTAATTGTGCCCTTCACATTTAATTACGATGTTTATTATGCTGTTAACTTATATTAACTGTTATGATAAATTCGTCCTCATCACGGCGGGCGAAAAAGACAAAAAATAAACTGCAGCGAAAATTTCGCTGTAATGTTTTTGTATCTTTGGCGAGTTCGAATCCTTGTAAATGTTACTTTGAAGAACAATTGATAAATAACAATTGAAACAATCTCAAAAACAAAAACTTGTACGACAAAAAATATCGAAGCTTAGTCATATTTGTATTATTACGGTAATCAATGACGAGCTTTCTTCCCAACTTATAAGTATATCACGTCACTTCTAACTTTAATATACGTTTTGAAAGAAGGTATTTGATACGTAACATCTTGCATGTGAATGGTTGGTGGGCCTTAAGAAGATTGTATTAAGCGGATTGAAGTTGGATTCAACAGTACGTAACAATACCTAACTTTCTTGTATACAAAGCGAACGTATTCAATTAATACATATTACATACAGTGGGTAAATCGTTTTCAAGTATACTAGCTATACATATGTTCCCAGCTCTGCCTGGAAATATTCAAACCTTATTACTTGACGTTGGGAACCGAATTCTCTTACATAGGCATAAATGATGTCAAAAGAGTAATGATTTGTTTGCTTTATTCTTATCAGCTGGTAGATGGTCAGACTCATTAACCACTCGGCCACAGCGGCCCCTGACCCCAAATATCAGACAGCACAAAAAGAAAACGCGTCAAATTTGTAGGCAACCAATGTGGAGGCGACCAATGTTGTCGACCTTCAGATTTGTAGTTTTGTCTGTTCCTTCTTGTTGAAGAAACTGCAGAAACTCCTTTTTCGTCATATGGCCCCATCAATAGTAATTATTGATTTTGAAAGATAGAATAGAGATAAAATATTCTACAATATCATCTTCAAGCTTTGTGATCTGATCTGATAATATACGATTTCTCAGTCCTCGCTTGGAGGACATAGCATTACTAGGATCTAACCTCATTTAACATGGCAGTTGTCGTTGATAGAGCAAAAGACGATTGCCCTTCTTTAACATCTGGTCTATCCTCCTTGCACTTTTTCAAAGGTCTCCATCTACATGTAAATGTTTCCTTTGCTTATATTTTGCCCTAGACTTATCAATGTTTAGTACGAATAATGGTTTTGCTGATATTTTGTTATTAATTTTATGCTTATTTCATAATATGTTTAATTTGATAATTATAAATATATCATCCTCATCCACTCTCTATCTAGCTCACCCTTTAAGATGGACCTGAGATAATTACACATGCGTCTCAGTCCTAGTGATAGAGGCCACAGGAGTGGCCGAAATATTTAGTTGTATTTGGTATTTATGGCGTGAATTATAGATAAAGAAAAAACATTATTTAACCACGTGATGTTATGACATGTTATGTAGCCATAGATCACACAGTGCTCAAAGAAACACAAAGGAAAGGGCCATCCAAACATTGCGTCCCATTGGACAGGATGTAGCCAGCTTTCTACCTGGTTTTTTGTTGTTGTGTGGAGGTGGTAGTATAATCGAAATTAATCCTTCAGTGTTTTTTTTATTATAGAAATCGTTTCATCCTCCTATGAATGCTTTCAGTCACTGAAGTGACAGTTTATTGAATTTTCTGCATAGTGTCTGGTCTCTCTCAGGTGTCCGACGAATCTCTCCCTAATCTTTTTGTCTTTTGTTTGTTTGGAGTGTAATGTCCTTGGAGAAACCATGTTCATATGAGGGCGGGTGTCTATAGGGAGACACCGCAAAACAAATTAGAAGGGAAATTACAAAAAAACTTATATACATGTAGATACCGATATTTGCAATGAGGATGCACATCAATTTGTTTCCTTCAATTCCCCTTAGCAAGTCCAAAAGACAGAGAAGAAAAGGTTCGAGTGTGCAGTCGTCTAAGATAAAATACATTCTGATACAGCAGGCCGCTTTTGTTGTTGAACCTGCTTGGGTCCATAGAGACTAGTATTTTTGTTTACGTAACTTTCTAGTATACGAAGCGAATACTCTGCTTGAGTCCATCGAGACTATTTTTTGTTTACGTAATGTTTTACTATACATAGCGAACACTCTTACATATGCATAAAGGATGCCAAACGATTGCAACGTGTTAAGTTATGGTCATATTGCTCCATAGAGATTAGTGTTTTGTTTACTTCACACAAGCAGTACATTCTGTAAAATTCATTCAGCGTGGAGCATATGGAATATTGAATAGGGTATACAGTATGACATGCAATAAAATATTGATGTCATGCAATATGAATAATGTCATAACGTGTTGTGATGGCACATCATTTAACATTTTTGGCACTAAGAAATTATCAAAAAGGATATCTCATGAGCATATAATAGCTATGGAATAATTACTGTGAGCATACATATTTCAGCACTAACTGCGTTTTCATTATTTCGTTAAGTCATGATTGGCCTAATTTTGGATTCTGTATACTGATTTCTGTTGCATATATTGTGGGTGCGCCAAATCATCAATGCTTCAATTTGTTATAACTCTATAATGCGTTAAAACGTGAATGCGTTCAAATAGGTACGTGAAAGTATAAATATAAAACCCTTATTTTATTTGTTTGAAAAAGTATCGCCAGATATTTTGATTGCCGATCATCATTATATATTAAAGGTTTTATATCTCGCGATATAAAACGGATTACCGTACAAATTGAGCTATTTACAGAGATAACCTACAATGTGGCCACGGCAACTGTCTATGAAGTCAATATACGTCAGCAAAATAAACACCTATTATCTGATATATCGTTAATGGGTGGTATTTATCAGGTCCAGCACACTTTGTGAATTGAGCTATAAAGTTTTTAAAAAAATATATAGGTTTGTCCACATTAAACGTATAGCTGTCTTGAGGTACTATATAGCGCTGTAATTTTGCAGGGTTAATATTTCGTGGTTTCGTATTCGGTTCATATTAGCGTTGGGTTATAAATATTTTCAACATGTTGTGATAAGATCCGTAAAAGTTGTCAACATTTTCGATAATTTCGCAGGTTTTTAGAATTCGCGGATATAACTAAAAGTGAAATTATAGCGAAATGTAAACCCCTACAAAATACATCTGCTATACAGTATATGTTTTATTTTTATTTTTTCATTTATTTTTTATTTTTTCATCAATGTAAAATCGAATTTTATCATCAACAATGTTTAGCAAAGAATATTGGATGTCTTTTGAAATCGTTATGGTGATAACATCTTCTTTAAAATGCGACTTTGTGTCGGGTTTTTTTGAAAGAAAAATAATAATTCCAGATTGAAACAGCTATTACAGGTCGTAGCAACTGTGGCTCAATCAGCAGAGTGTACTGGACCTGATTATATATGTTGTAAACACTGTAATCTAACAGCGAATGATAGCTAGTGTTCTCGCCGGAACAACGAAGCCTTACAAATTACAGTAACCTTGACAACATATACAAGTAGCAAATTTGAATATACACAACTATTTCAACGACCGTTTGGTATATTTTCGTCAACATGGTCGCTAAAATGTATCAAATGTGGCCGTTTAACGTAATTTGGGGGTCAGTATTGGGTGGTCGCTGGTCGCGTTAGACAGATGGTCGCTTAATACAGTTAAATTACATGGTAAAAACGGTCTCGAGGAATGAAAAGTAGTCGCATACAACAGATGGTAATTTAATACAGATGATCGCTTGAGCAGATTCGACTGTAGTAAGTATTCCCTTTACGTTACGCTTGAACCAGTGTCCTTATAGTATCTGGGAGACAAATCATACATTTGTATGTAAACTGTAACCAAATGTATTATCAAATATATCGATTAAGCCTGGGTATAAATGCTCTTGTATAAAGTATTTGTTTAAAGGTTTACATTAGAATGAGAAACTTGTATACGATGTATAACGGACTTATAAGGTAGCTAAGTTGAGTAAATCGGTCCAATAGACTTTAATGGAGTAATATTCATATCTGACTTTGTATTAACCTATATATATACATGTATATAATGCCCTGCTAGTTGTACCTACTTTAGTAAGACAAACCTTGAACGATGTAGTTCATTCGATAACAGACTATGTATACCATAGTTCGTCAAAAATTCCGTTTAGTACTAAATAGTTTTTCCTGCCGTTCACTTGAATGATAATCTTCCACTATCTGACAAGTAAGGACCTGGTCCCTCCTTTACCAGACTTTTTTTTTTTAACATGCCAACCCTACATCATTCTTTGAAAGATATAATCAGACTAAAACAACTGACAATGCTCTATTGCAGAAATATGCCCTACAGTACCCTGGTAACTTACTTCAATGAACTCGATTTGAGCACTGTAGGATATATGACGCTGCCCTAGTGCCGACATGAGATCCCGTAATTTTTCAGGTTGCGATGCACGTGCAATGCATTTATCAACTGTTCCCATCACCCTCAGAGAGTGACTCTTGAGAATGGCGCTCAGTTCCAAGTCCTTTTTGCTAAGCTGGCGGAATGGCAGGAATGAATCTTGAACTTCTGGATGTGTCTCGAACAATCTACAAAATAAATGTCAGATAATTATCATTATTATTTTTGTCATAAACGAACTGGTATTATGTAAATGGTCGCTTTGTTTGAGCCTTTAATCCTTGCAAAAAGCATACGAAGTCGGTGCCCACGAATGATGGAACCACTCTAAGGCAATTTTATCCTGTTATCTAACTGAAATGTCATAACCTAGACACAAAAGTATGACACTCCACCCTGTCACATTATTTTGACATTAGGTTGTTTTTCTTAGAGACATAATGAACAGGCGATATAAATGAAAAGGCAGCTGTCCCCAAGTGTTGCAATCGAGAAAGAATAATACAATGTATTACCTGTGACTGAGCGAGATCGGGTTATCTCAGTCGTGGGCTAATATTCTGTGACATAATCCCAAGCGAGGCGTAAGCAGAGGTTGGGATGTCACAGAATCTTTGTCCGAGACTGCGATAAACCTAGCTCGCTCAAGTACAGGTAATAGATGTTTTCTTGCATCTTTTACTTCGAAAAGACTATTCAATTTTAATACAGGTTACACGTATCCCGTCTGGGGCCTCAACTGTATATGACCTTTACACTTCTATAGCTACATTTGAAAGCCTCCTCGTATTTTGTCTGTGTAGATTATGTTTTATCTTTAACATCAGATATCTAACTAAATTTTGTACCTTAACATAAAACATATAACAACAAAACAGAATATGTATAATGCAGATTGTCAATTTCGAGTCGTTAACGCAAGGATGAATACATCGCTGGGTAAACATTCCATGAAATGTCAGGTAAAGGTACCAGACGGATCCGACGAGATAGAAATATCTAGCATGGGTATGACGCGGAATATCTCTGTCTGAGGTGTGAGAAAAGCTCAATAATGCTTGTGTCTTCAACGGGCGCTCTACCAAAAAAGGCACAAAATAATCTCATAGCCGTCATTTGCGATGAAACATGGCAATTCAGTAGGTCCGTTCTTTTCTAACGTCACCTAATAATGTGGGAGACAATTTTCACTGCCAACTAGCGTAACCTCGAACATAAATTTAATTAAGCATATTTCCAAATGATAGCATGGTAAAATATAAAAGAAAATAACCATATCAACGGTCGAGGATTCATTTTGAACTCCACCGCTATTCGACCAGATTAAAAAAGAAACAGAGGAAATAGTTACATAATGAATAAATTGCACAAAAATAAGAGGATCCAGGCGTTCCGAGAGGGTAAGTAGTTCCTGCGCCTATTCTTCAAGTCTTTAATCGTTAATGGCACTGAAAACTGATATTAGGAACGGTTTCGTGCTGATGACCGTATTATTTTTCCTTCTCATTGATTGAAGGCACTGGTTTGTTTACATTGGGTATAGTTTGGTTTGGTTTAATTTTGTTTAACGTCCTATTAACAGCTAAGGTTATTTAAGGATGTACATTTGGTAAAACGTCCTCGAAAGAGTTAATATCATATAAAGGAGGGTGCCGTGGGAGACACATCACCGCTAAGTTTCGATTGACCGACGCAGACGACATCAATAGCGCATAAACCCGATCACAATCATGGATGTATTTTTGTTCTAACTTGACTAACAAAACACTATGAATTTCGGGGATCTAAAGAATCGTGTTTCCCTACCTCAAGGGTAATAAATATGTGAAGAGGAAAACGTAAAAGGACACGATTTTATCAAGTATGATTCCATGTGGACATTTCTATCGAGTATGCAGTCTCATGCAAAGGTCAAATCAATTGTGTTGTTTCTGGAGCTACTTTGACTGAAATTTCCATACATTTCTAATCTGTTTACTATAAAAACATTGTTTATTGTATCCAGTCGTGTGTTTGGAACACTGTTGCGTAATACGCCAATGCATCCGGCTTGACATTGCGTGAGAGGTCAGAACGAATCACAGTAATTATGTTAAGGAAAGCAGAAACTCATCTTTTTGTATTCCTAACTGATTTAATCAGATATTGAAAGGATATGCGAATTCGTACGGTACGTGCGTTCGTGTGTTAATTTAATAAACTATTATCCATTGTGCCCGCTTAAAGGCAGTCACTCAAACAGGTCCGACGAGGTCCACAAATAGCCGAATTAACGAGACATAAAAGACCCCAAACATTTGTGATTTCAGCATTTCTTCTTTGAAAAGAAAAAGATCGATATGTATTTAAATGTTTTGAGCCCGTTGAATTTATTTTTTCAATTTCCAACTTTTATCATTATCGGTTCAATTCGCATGTATGTGAACCCTGTGAGTTCCTGCCGGTGAATAGTATTACGCGATCTTGTCTCTTTGCAGTACCAAAACCGGCAAACTTCTACCCCCACCCCACAACCCCACCCCACCCCCTCCTCGTTGAATCAGAGGTTTTCTGCTGTGTCTTTTGCTTTAGAGTAATTGAAGGAAGCAATCCAGATCTACTGCCTATTGCAATGTATGGGATTTGTATCGTTTCTTGTCCGGCTCTTGTTACATTGAAGTTGACTGACATATTCATACATATACACTGTCTCCCTAGGCACCCGTCTCTATATAACCTTTATTGTTGCAAGAACAAAAAAAGTGTATCACACCCTCATCAATACTTCAATATAAAGAAATTTAGAAACGGGATTTGAGTATTTGGTATAGAAACAAACACAAGTTGATCATACATATGTATTCGGAGATATTTCACTTAAAACTTATTATTTATTTGTTTTTAATGTGTTTTTAATCATTATAGAATACTTTGACCCATCCTCGACATGCCGGAGATCAATCTCGCAAACCTGGCATATGTTCAATAAAATCAATGTATCTGCACGCATAACCTTGCGAATTAAACTAAAATAAATCTTAAGAACACCGATCTAAAACCTTTGATGTACATCAAAGAATAAGCTCGGTGGCATTAGGATAATAATTGACCAGTGTTTATGCCGGTTCTCTCTCTCCTTTGTTATCTTCAAAGGACAAGTATCGGTCTAGCGAGACGCCAAATTTCTGTTTATGAGCCAATCTTGTCATGACATGTTATTTCAGAGGTGCATAGAGCTTTACTGTGTGTAGCCCCTGGGATATCGAGGCTGTGACCTTGCAGGCTGGTAAACTGCTGAACAATACCTTCAGTTGACCAATCTTCAGTAGAGAACTCACTTACAATGAACCACTCGGCTACAAAACGACCAGTATCTTCTGGCCGTTTTTGTTTGTCGTTATGACAACAGTATACACCACCGAAAAGAAAGGGAAGGCAAGCGAGAAAAGAAAATTCATAGACTTCCAAGTGTTGCTTTGGGGATATCAGACCAATTTTCATGAAGGGTGAAAGAAAGAAACAAAAGGATAGCTAAACCGTTTCTGGACAAAGTCTTAAAAAGTAGTCCATTATGGTGGTAAAGGGATACAATTCGGAAGAGATTTGTTGTTAGTGTTAATGATAGGGTTGAGGTGCAACAGATTGACCTTGTGGACGGACATATGTCTTTATCGATAACAATTTACAGTGAGACACTTTTATAGTTTCCAACACCTGAAGTTTCGCAAATAAAATTGTCCCACTACATCATACAACATGAGGCGACTAATGAGGAACCTCCTGCAGAATATGGTTTGGTTCTTTGTCTTCTGCTTATTCCGTCTTTTCGTATTGCAGAGTTATCTTCTCTTGTGAGCAGGTATCGGTTGTTACATCATTAGTTTGTGGGAGAAGCGTCATCAATTTTTGAGAAAACGACGTAATTTTCTCACACAAACCAATGACGTAACAATCAATAACTGCTCACAAGAGAAGATAACTCTACAATACGCAAAGACGGAACAGGATTAGAAGAAACGAAAATTGGTCAGCTGCCCCAACCAAAACACTTGTGATATGTAGCTTTTCTTTTTCTCACTTCCCTACTCGATCTCTCCGGAAGTGTCTCCTTAGACGCCCGACGTCACACAACCGTATTGTTGAGAGTACATTATACCAAGGCAAACAAAGAGTCCCACATGGAATATCATGTATGAGTATGTAACGCATAAAATTAATAAAAACTAAAATAATCTTTTAACATAAAAAAATCATTAACTTAATACCATGTAGTCAATTTCGTGTTCAGAATAAAAATCGTTGTACGCAATATACAGCTGGTATCTACAATCTTCAGAGAGATTGCATAAATATATATAAATGCAAATAATGTTCAGTAAAGTCTACATGTTTAATTAATATATGCAATATCCAGATGCAGATACTATATAAAACTTTAAAATTTAAAAGCTTTCCTTGACTTTCAGACGTAGAATTACATAGAACGGAATTGTATCTGCATTCACACACGCATACACGCATACACTACACACATGGATGCACGTTATTAAATGACCTTAACTGTTAATAGGACGTTAAACAAAATTAAACAAAACCAAAGTATCTACACATATGGTCACTAATAAAGTATCTGGAAATTTCGTCTTTTTGCCTTAAGGTGTGTTTGGTTACGGAGTAATTATATCGCCTCTTCATCTTCGTTTGATTCAAATGATGGAAGTGTTTTCATTTAGAAATTCAAACAGACCATTGCGGTGAATTGAAAACGAATTAAGGACTCGACTTAAGAGCACCACAGTACATTGGCAACGCATTCCATCTAAACCATGTTTATGGATAATTAACAGAGAGGAAGACATAGATTGTTTACGTGCCAGACTGTGTTATTAGCAAAAAAGAACGACAAAATTTTAAACATAGATTGCAAAAGTCGACATAGCTTTTAATCTGGAACTTAATTGTGCAATTATTCTTCATTGTTATTTGAATTGAAATAATCATTTATTTCATTCAATTTAAAATAATAAAGTCGAATTTCAGTAACACTTGAAATATTTGAATCATTCTTTTGAGTTCCTTTCCAATCTTTTCCTGAGTTAAAGGTGGGTATTTATTTCCTTTTTTTTTTTTTTTTTTTGGAAACACCAATTTCACAGACGTGCTAGTCGACAATATAATCAATATTCTCATTCATCTTAGTGCATTTTCA